CGGAAACAGTCAAAAAACGGCGACGGAACTGGTAAAACAACGGCGCCGGAACCCGCAAAAAGACGGCAAAACGGAACCGGTAAAGAAACGGCCCTGTCGTTCCCAGGGCCCACTAAGGGCTGCACCGACAGGCGCCGAGCGCACTCCCCGAAGCGACGCCGCCACCACCGGCGGGCCACTGCTGGCGAGGAGGCCCGCAACGCCTTCCTGCACGCACGAACTGGGGATTGCAGGCGCGTCTCGAGCGGGGTGCCGCGGAGAACAGGGGCGCCGCACCATGGGGGCAGCAAGCATCTCTGATCCGTCTGTGGGTGGTGGTCCTTTCCAGTCGGGCATCCGATCCCCACTGCGGATGTCAGCGAGACAAATTGGATCGATTGACAATTGTATAGAAATTCTGGCGTCGATTCAGATATACACACACACTTTCCGGATATATATATATATATAGATATGCATACATACATACATACATACATACATACATGCGTGCGTACAGACAGACAGACAGACAGACAGACAGACAGACAGACAGACAGACAGACAGACAGACAGACAGACAGACAGACAGACAGACAGACATATATAACACTCTTTCCTGCTATACATATAAATATATACAAATAAATATATATATATATATATATACACGTCGACATATATATATATGAATACAAATATACACATATATGCATATAGACATAAAAGTATCCGGCATCACCGTCACGCCTCCCTCCCTCCACCCTCCTTGTCACCAACGGCGCATATCTTCATATCCTCGCCATCGCGGCCTGGGATCTGGGACGCGACCCCGCGAATGCGCGGCCGCATGGGCACATGCTGCGCGGAGCATCCGCAACAACAACCCCCTATGTCAGTGGAGTCGCGGCCCAGGGCCGCGGCCCGCGAGGCCGTGGATATGGATTCGCTCCCGCCTACCATCGTGGGGGGGGAGGGGTTGCTCCTGGGCACGAGTCGCGTCAACTTGAGGTAGCCCAAATCTTGCTGGATCCGGATGTGGCTCCCAGGCCTGGCTGGCCAGGAGCAGATACCGACCAAGCGTGCGGAGGCACGGGCCGACGGCCCAAGGACAGCTGCCGCCACCGTGCGTAGGGCACGCAGTGGGGCTTCCTCTGGCCCCTCCGGGTTCTCAGACTCGAACACTGTGCGCGCTCCTCCTGCGCGCCACAAACCTCCAGCTCACGGGGCATCCGTGGAAAGTCCGCAGCAACCTCTACGCTCGAAGGTCCGCGCGGAATTTTCTTGGAGCGGCGCTGGACTCACTGTTGCGCGGAGGGAACCACAGGCTGACGCCAGTGGCACGCCCCTTGGGGGTGCACTGGGAGGGCAGCGCCGATCAAAAGCCACGCAGAACTACAACAATGTGCGCTTATTCCGGATGTTCTTCCTGGGCCGCTGCTCGATGAAAAACTTCGAAACCAGGCAGCGTCGAATGGGGGAATCGGACTGTATTGGAATGCGCGTCGGATCTGGTCGCGCCAATGCATCGGCACACGGAACCAGGATCGCCTCGGATCGGCCGCGCCAGGATTCACAAGAACGCCACGCCAACGTCGGACCGCATCGCATCGCCAAAACATCGGAATCGGATGGATCGGCTCGGACCGGCCGAGATCGAGGACCGAAGCTCGAATATCTAGGCCTGGCGATCCTTGCTGTCGCCTGCTCGCTCACGGGGGGCAGGCAACGCGGGGCGAGGAAGCGTGCGCCTCCCGTGCACATCTTGGGCCCGCCGCGGCCGCGCGGGGGCCTCTCAGGGCCCCTTCCGAGCCACCGTCCTGCTGTCCTCGATCGCCCCACGACCTCTTGGGAGGGTGACGTATGTCTGCTGAGGCTTTTCGCCGGAGCAGCGTAGAGCATCACCCGCCACATCGGTGCGGACCTGCGGCCTTCCAGGCGGCCGGGCGGGCGGGGCGTCCACGGCGCGGGGAAGAGGAGGAGGAGGAGGAGGAGGAGGACCGCGTGCTCAGGAGGAGGATTCTACCTCCTCCTCTTCCTCCTCCTCCTCCTCCTGGTCCTTCTTTGGAGATCCCGAGAAGATGCCGGGAAGAGCCGAGGGGGGCACGGCGCCCCGTGTGGAGCGACTCTGCAGACACGGGCGGGCCCTGAGGGCACAGGCCAAAGGCTGCCAACGGGACACGAAAGCGGCCCCGACGGATAGGTGTGTGTACACATATACATATATACATATATATATATATACACCGATATGAAACGGTGTACTTATATAATATATATATATATGTATACATGTTTATGTACATACATACATATCTCTCTCTATATATATATATATGTGTGTATATATGTTGGTGTGTATATATATAGATATGCACGTATATGTATATATATGTGTGTACATATATATATATATGTACATATATATATATATGTGTGTATTCGTTGGTCAGATGTCTCCAGGAAAGAAAACGAAAAGGCGTGAATTCATGGGGGGCGTCAAGCGGGTGAAGGAATGGTGTGCTTTTCGGTCCCTGCGAGCCCCCATGTGGGCCCTAGAGGGCTCCTTCAGGGGTCCTCGAGGGCTCCGGCTCTGCAGCCCTCGCTGCTCTCTCGGGGATGGACAGAACCCCTTTAGTAAAACGTGTAATGAAAACGACCTCGGGCCCAAACCTGGCGGGCGCAAGCCTGGAAAACGACGGCCGCGGCGCTGTCTCGAGAACAAAGCACGGACAATGCAAATGCACTGATCGACGTGGCAGGGCGGGGGCTCTGCCCACCCCCAGCTCTCCTTGCTTATCGCCCCCCGCGTTACGCGGCGCCCAAAACACACTGGAGACAAGAACACGCCGGCATCGACGGAGAGCTCTGCCTGGAGGAGGGGCGGAGGCAGGGCCGCGGGCACCCGGTGCCGATACCACTGGGGGAGCAGGGGGCGAGAACCGGAGAGGGGGGGGGGGGCGGCGACAGCGTCCCTGCACTGCTCTGCGTTACAGTCGGGGCGTTGACCTAAGGAACCCCAAGCAAGGAACGAGGCCCCTTGCTCCCAGAAGTGATCCTTCGGTTGTCCATGGAAAACCTGAGGAAAACCTGAGACAGACTGTTCAACAAGCAATTGAGACCGAGCCCCTTCCCAGCCAAAAGGGTTCCTTATTCAGCTCCCCCGACTGTAACGGGCGAAGAACGGTGTAACATAAACTGTCTCGCTGTCGGGGGCGCCTGTACGAGTGCGGCTGGAAAGTTTATACCCCTTCGGGGGTGGACAGAACCCCCAACAGTGACACGTCGATTAGTGAATTGTCCGTTTTCGGTTCTCGAGAGGGCGCCGTGGCCGTTATTTTCCAGGCTTGCGCCCGCCAGGTGTGGGCCTCAGGCCGTTTTCACTAAACCGCGTTTTCCTAAAGGGGGGGTCTGTCCAGCCCCGACCCTCACGGTGGCACCGCAGGGGTGTGCACCTTCCAGCCGCCCAGGGGGCAGGCGGCCCCGACGGCGGAAACGTCGACTCTGGCCCGCTCTTCGCCCGCTGCCTGCGGACTCGAGCGCGCAGGCCACCGCCGTCGCAGCAAGCTCTGCACCGGTCGAGGGGCCCCGAGGTCCCTCTTGCGTGTGCGGTCGGACCTATGGGGCAGAGGTGCGACGGCATGGGAGCACTCTGCACAAACACGCCGCGGCATTGGACCAGCACGCGCCACCGCACGCCGGGGCTGCAACTCGCCGCCCCCTGCAGGCTCCAGAAAGCCACAACGGTCAGCCAAGTGCATCACCCTTGGGAGTGTGGATTGTGGAATAAGAACAGAAGCTAGTCAAAACCTATTAAGAAAAATTATAAAAATGCTCAGCAAATCGTCCCCGGGCGATTGTTACTATTTTGAACTATTCCTCCTGTAGAGGGACGTGCACGACTTAACCCTTGGTCATGGGGGGGCAAGACATGGGAGGGGCAGCGAAGCTGCAGAAGAGGGGCCCTGTAGGGTCCCAGTGGGGGCCTTTAGGGCCCTCAAAGGGCACCTTTCTTCCCCCCTCCATGTATCTGGGAGGTCTTCGTCGGAAGGAAAAGTCAGGATCAAGCCCCTTCGGGAGGCTGTAACGCAAGAGTGGGCCTCGGATTAAGCGGGATTAAGCCGGATTAAGCGGGATTGAACGGGATTCAGCCGGATTCAGCGGGATTCAGCCGGATCAACCCCGAATTCGACCTTCCAGGAGCTGCATCCGAAGCCCCCCATACATTCGCGCCCTGATCGCGCAACAGATCCTGCGTGCTCCGGCTCATCGTCCCCGCGTCGCCGCCCGCCCGACAGACGCTCGCGGCGGGCGCTCCTGGCCTGGCTGCGCCGGGCTGCCGGGCTGCGCCGACCTCTGCAGGCTCGAGGGCCTCGGGCCGAGGAGGGCGCCGTCAGCGCGCTCTGCCCCCCCTCCCCCCTCCTGCGCAAGGGGGGGAGGGAATCGGGAGGCTTCTGTGGAAGATCCGCGCAGATTGCCTATCCCTGAAGTGCAAAGACGGGAACCTTACTCCGACGCCTCCTAGATGGGATCCGAGTAGATGGGATCCAAGGGTCGCGCCGCATCGCCGATACATCGGCGATGCATCGGCGATGCACTGGCGATGCATCGTCGACGTGGGCGATGCATTGGCGACGCAGTCGTGGAGAAAAGCGGGCTCCGCATCGCACACCGCAGCGTGCTAGCATTTGCGCGCCGGAAACAGAACGGCGCGCGTCGGCAAATCTGGACTCACGCAGCTCCGTGGATTTAATCCACGGGCCCACACTAGCACATGTATATATAGAATGTATGCATGGAGGTGATCCTAATGATTTCTTCATTTTGACAAAAAACTATGTACATCTAATTTACAGGACCACATGTAACGTCCGAATCCTGATTCGAAAATGTATCACCAAGGGGGGTCCAAGAGGGGGACAACGAACCGAACACTCGAGCGTTCCGCCCCGAGGGCGCCCCAGGAGGCCTCAAGAGGGCCCCAAGAGGCTCTAAGACGCCCCCTAAGGCCCCACAGAGGCACCAGCAGGCCCCCCCGAGGCTCCCAAGAGGCCTTCACCCTCAAAAGGCCCCCAAAAGGCCCCACGAAGGCTCCAAGAGGCCCAAGAGGCCGTCAAGAGGCTCCCAAGAGGCCCCGAAACTGCCCCCAACAGGCCCCCGAGAGTGCTCCGAAGAGAGCCCAAGAGACATCACCGAGAACTCTGACCCACAACCCAGGCACGGTGGCGGGGTGGGCCGAAAGTCAGTCGGAGCGGCGGGCGAGGGGGAGAAGTGAGGAGGAGAAGGCCTTCTCAGAACGCGGCGGGACTTCTCAGGAGCCCGCGCGACTTCGGAGAGGCCTTTGTCTGTGCCTTCGGGGACGGCTCAGACAACTCCTCGAAGGCGGGGGGACTTCCGAGCCTTCTGGGAAGAGGAAGAGGAGGAGGAGGAGGAGGAGGAGGATGAGGAGGAGGAGGAGGAGGAGGAGGAGGAGGAGGAGGAGGAGGAGGCCCGCCCCTTCTCGCCTCCCCCTCGATCGCCGCCGATCCTGCGCGCGGCCGGGAGCCCACAGCCGCCCCCCCAGGGCCCCTCCCCGAAGCAGGCTCCCGAGCGCCGCGCGTGGGCGGCGCCACCTGCGCGCGGGCGCCCGCGCGGGCGGGCCGAGGGCACGCAGCGATGCGCACCCCTGTGGTGGGAGCATGCGGCGCCGTCGGGGAGGAGAGGGAGCAGCGGGAGAGCTCGGGGCAGGATGGGGGGGGAAGATCAATAGCGAGAGAACAACAAGCACAACAACAACAACCACAACCACAACCACAACCACAACAACAACAACAACAACAACAACAACAACAATAATAACAACAATAACAACAACCACAACAACAACAACAACAACAACAGCAACAGCAACGATCACAACCACATCAACAACGACAACGACATCGACAACAACAGCAACAACAACAACAGCAACAGCAACAACAACAACAACGACAACAACAACAAGAGCAACAAACACAACCATAACCACAACCACAACGACGACAACAACAACAACAGCAACCACCACAACAACAACAACAACGACAATAACAACAACACAACAACAACAACAACAACAACAACAACAACAACAACAACAACAACAGCAACAGCAACAACAACAACAACAACAACAACAACAACAACAGCAACAGCAACAGCAACAACAACAACGACGACGACGACAACAACAGCAACAACTACAACTACAAGCATTTTAGGACTGTCCGCTCTTATCTGCTCGCGTGCCACTCAACACGTAAACCCTCGATACCCGTCATATTCGTTTTCGATCCTACACCCATGGCGACCTATCTTTCTTTCCTGCAACTTGTGTTTGGCTGAGCCCCTAAGACAGTTCCCGAAGCGAGTCGGACCGGCCGAACCGAACCAGGACGAACCGAACCGGCGCGAACTGGTGTTTTTATCAACGCGAGCCGAGCCGAACCGAACCGAACCGCCCGATTTTGACACCCGAAACGGACCTAACCGGACCGGTTTCGACTTTGACTCCGAACTGGGCCGGATACACCCCCCGAACCAAAACGAATCGGACCGAACCAGAGCACGGAAACCTCTGGAGCGAATCGGAAACTGTGAACAGAAACCGACCCGAGAAAGACGGCGGAACCAGATTGCGGCGGCTCTCTGCGAACCTGGATCGCAGGATGGCCGCGCTCCGCCCCGACGACGGGGCACCGGTCCTCGACGCGAACCGGCCGAACTGGACTGACCCGACCTCTGACCCGAACTGGCCAGCCCGAACTGGCCCCACGATAGGGGCACAAAAAGTGGCATAAACATAAAAACTCGGAGGTCCGGGCGGATTCCTCGGTCGGTCCGCGGCGCCTCCGGCGCCGCCCCTGGCGCGCTCCGCGCGCCAGGGAAGGGGGTCCAGCGCCGATCCGAGAAATCCGCGCGGACCTCCGAGTTTTTATGTTCATGCCACTTGTTCCCCTGGACGAGGGCGAGGGCGAGGGCGACGAGTACGGCGGCGGCGGGGTCGAGTGCGACGAGTGCCGCAGCGAGGTGCTGCACCTGCGGGAGGCCCTTGGGCGGGGGGGGCGCGGTCCGTGCGGCGCGAGGAGCCACGAAAAGCTGAAGGGGCCCCAGGACACACAAATAAATACACACAAATAAAAAGCTTCCCCATATGTTCCTATATTTTCTGGGGTTTTGTCTTCCCCCCACTTCCCATATTTCCCCATATTTTCCCATATTTTCTATGGAATCGACGATCAATTGTGTCTGTGTGTTTTTTCCCCTCCTGAACAACGGCGAGCAGGAGGGAGCTGGCGGTGAGCGTCCAGCTGCTGGTGCAGGGGCCGAGGCAGCGGGCGCAGCGGCAGCTTCGGCGGCGGCTCCTGAGTCCACCGGGGCGAAGGCCAAGGAGGAAGCTGACAAGGCCGCCAATGAGGCAGCCGTCGCCGCCGAGGCCGAGCGCACCTCCAGAGCGAAGCTCGCCGCCATGGAGGCCAAGAACAACGGCGGGGGCTTTCCCCCCGCGATGTGGCCAGGCCCAGTGGGAAGGGGCACGCGCCGCGTTGAGCACGACCAGGCGCGCCTGCGAAGTTCAAGGCGCACTCCGCCGTTGTGCCGAGGACGCCCTAAGAAGCTCCCCTTTCCAAGAACCCCAAGCACATAGAGAGAAAACCCTACCCTCGACCCTCCTCCTCCTCCTCCTCCTCCTCCGCCTCCTCCTCATCCTCCTCCTCCTCCTCCTCCTCCTCCGCCTTCCCCTCCTCCTCCTCCGCCTCTTCCTCCTCCTCCTCCTTCCCCTCCTCCCCCTCCAGGAGGAGGAGGACGGCTCCTACCTGGGGGAGGAGGAGTCCTCCCCCCCTGCGTAGGAGCCCTCCCCCCACGAGAAAGCCAAGACGAGCACGCCGGACGTTCTGTTAGTTTGGGCTGACGTTCCGTCCGTTGCGGGACTCGTCCGACCGTTCTCTTTGCGCCCCTCGCGAGGCCCTCAGGCGGCCAGGGCGCGGGAGAACCACCCCCCTCCCCAGGTGGGGGAACCACCCCGCCTCGGGTGGGAGAATCACGAACCCTCCCCCCGATGGGAGACTACGCCTCCTGGTGGGAGAACAGTCCCCCCAGGCGGGAAAACCCCGACCCCCCGGTGGGAGAACCAGCCCCCCCCCCCGTAGAGGAGAACCACCCCTCCCAGTGGGAGAACCCACCCTTCTGGTGGGAGAACAACCCCTCCGGAGGGAGAACCACCCCCCCTGATGGGAGAACCACGCCTCCCAGGTGGGAGAAACACCCTCCCCCCGGTGGGAGAACCACCCCCCCGGTGGTGGAGAACCCCCCCCCGGACATTCCCCCCCCGGTGGGAGAACCACCACCCCTGGAAGCCCACCCTGGAGTGAGAACCACCCACCTGTGGGAAAACCACCCCCCCAGGTGGAGAACAACCGCCCCCTGGGTGGGAGAACCACCCCACCCCTGACGGGAGAACAACCACCCCCCTGGTGGGAGAACAACCCCCAAAGTGGGAGAATCACCCACAGAGGGAAAGCTACCCCCCCTTTGTTCAGACAGGAAATGCGCCTGGTTACATCTGGTGGTGGATCCGTAATGGCCTCCCGAGACAGGTTGAGGGGGGCTATCACGGACGCTCTCTCTCTCTGTCTAGATCCTCATCTCCTGGCAGCCGAGACGGGCACAGGGCCCCTTGAGCGCCAGGGGATCGAAAAACCAGCACGGCAACCCTCGAGAAAAAAGGAGAAGACAAGAGGCCCCCCCCGCGATGCGAGTTCCCGCGACTTACACCAGGAAGAAGCCAAAGGAAACAGAAGGTTCGAAAGAACATTCGACAGTCCGCGCAGACTTCTTGGATCGGCGCTGGACCCCCTTCCCTGGTGCGCGGGGCGCGCCAGGGGCGGCGCAGGAGGCGCCGCCAGGGGGTCCAGCGCAGATCCAAGACATCCGCGCGGAGCTTCGAGAGTATGTGTTTGTGTCGGTGTTCTCGTTCGCGGGGGTCCAGCGCAAGTCCAAGACATCGGCGCAGACCTCCGAGGATGTATGGCTGTGCCGTTTTGTTCCAGGGCTCGAGCTGAACAGTGCGCTTCGTTTTCGATATGGTTTCGTGTTCCTTCGTCCTGTCCTCGTTCTTCCTTCGCCACGACACATCAAAACGAACCACGAAATCACCGAAACACAATTTCCCTTGAGCCCTCCTCCTCCTCCTCCACCCTGCCCTCCTCCTCCTCCTCCACCTTGCCCCTCCTCCTCCGCCTCATCCTCCTCATCCTCCTCTCCTCCTCCTCCTCCTCCTCCTCCTCCTCCCCCCGTCCCCCTCCTCTGCCTCCTCCTCCCTTCCTCCCGTTCTCCTCCGCCTCCCGTTCTTCTTCTCCCCCTCCTCCTCCTCCTCCTCCTCCTCCTCCTCCTCCTCCTCCTCCTCCTCCTCCTCCTGTTCCTGTTCCTGTTCCTGCTCCTGCGCCTGTTCTACTCTTCGTCGGCTCATCACGAGGAGCTAGCCAGCACGGGCCGCCCTGCCACCACTGGGGGATCCGGCCTCCCCGCGCCGCGCCGCTCCGCGCCGCCTGCCTGCACCCGCTCCCGGCGCCACAGTGGGCCCCCACCCCCGTCTCCAGGGTCGCGATTCCCGATCCTCGACGCTCGATGATCGATCCTCGAGGCTCGAGGCTCGATGCTCGCGGTTCGATGCTCGATCCTCGGTCCTCGAGGCTCGAGGCTCGATGCTCGATCCTCGAACGCAGATCTCGAACCCCCCCCGTCTCTTAGGGTGCGATCCTCGATGCTCGATCCTCGATGCTCCAGACTCGAGGCTCAATGCTCGATCCTCGGTCCTCGATCCTTGAACGCCGATCCTCCTCGCAACGCCTGTCGCCGGGCCACTCGCGCCTCCCAGAGGCGTCCAAAGAGGGGGGCGTGCAAGAGGAGGTGTCGCCAATCCAGGCCCGAGGCACGTGCGCGGCTCACGGGCCAGGAGCCGGACCGAGAGAAGCACTGGGCGCCATATGAGATCTGGGCAATAGCATGGCCCAACGCCGACTGATATCCACACGCCCCTGGCCATCGCCCCCCTTGCGGCCGCCCCCCTTGTGGTCTCCGGGGCACGCAGCCTCTCCCCGGCGCTGGCCGCGGGTGCCCCCGCCTTCTGCTCCTCCTTCTTGCCGCCCCAGGAGCCGTCGCCCCAGGCGCCCCCCTCGCGGGCGCGGGGCGGCGGCCGCGGCAGGCGCGTGCTCGGTCCGCTGCCGAAGGGCGACACGACGACGTCGGCGAGGGCAACACGCCCTCGGAAGCCTCTGGCGTCCGTCGACGTCCGCAACGACGAGGATGGAGACGACGACGACGACAACGACGACGACGACGACGACGACGACGACGACGACGAGGCCAAGGAGGCCGAAGGGGAGGGGCGAGGGGGAAAAGAGGGAGGGGGGGATGTGGACGGGAAGGGGGGAAGGAACTGTCAGTTCAAGATAAGCGTTCCGGGGCCCCTCCTGAAGCCACACGCCCCACTCATGCGTCGATGTTACGTCGAAGGTCCGTCGACTTGGGTCGAACCACAATTGAACTGAGCCGAGCTAGAGTCGAACTCGAGTCGCACGCATCGGCTCGGTGGGCCCAAGGAAGGTCCCACAAGATTAATTCCTAATCCGCCGAACTCATGTGACTCTCCCGGCGTGTGTGACACTTCCCCCCTTTCCCCCCCCCAGCGATCCAAATCTTAAAAAATTTGACCCCCCCGGAGATCCCAATTCGGCGGTGGACAAGCCTCCCTTTAGTCAACCTCCCCTTAGTCTAAACGGCCTGGGACCGAAACCGACGGACCTGGACTCGCAACAATGAAAGCCGCGACGCCCTCGCGCGAACCGATAAACGGCCAATTCCTCAATCGACGTGTCAGGGTCGGAGGCCTATCAACGTCCGACCAAGCCGAATCAATCCCCCGCCGGAATCCCAATCTGGCAATTTGACCCCCCCCCCCGGCCCCAGGACAGGTCAGTGGCAGCGGGCCCCCACTCTCCAACAACACATGCCCGCCTCGACCGCCCGGGGGCGCTTGACTGCGGGGCCCCTCTGCCAGCAAGCAGGCGGAGCCGGGGGTCGAACTCCGCTGTTGTGGGTGAGCCCGTGGCGCTGACTCGGGAGGTCTGGGAGCGAGGAACGCAGAGGCCAAGGCTGGGTAGTCGAAGCCAATCTGGCGCCAATCTGGCAGGCCCAGTCTGGCAAACGGGGGCAATCTGGCGAGGGAGCCAACGCGAATCCAGTCTGGCGAATAACCCAAATCATCCAGTTTGGCCAGGCCAGATTGGCCCGTGGGGCCCAATCCAATCTGACAGTCTGGCCTTCGACTACCCAGCAAGGGAGCCTGAGGGACGGGGGGCGGCCTGCTGGGCACTCGGGAGCCTGACCTCGGCGACTGGCTGTCTGCAGCGCGCGCGCGCGCTGTGTCTTACTGGGCCCTGGAAACGACAGGGCCGTTATTTTGTTACCGGTTCCGGCTTGTCGTTTTTTGGCCCTGTTCCGACGCCGTTGCTTTTCCGCTTCCGCCGCCGTTCTTTTGCGGGTTCCCGCTCCGGCTCCGCTCCTGGAGCCGTTTCTGTTGCCGTGTCCGGTCGCCGTCTTTTTTTTGGCCGCTTCCACTTTCAAGGGGCACTACTTCGGAAACGGTGAGAAGACGACCCTGCCGCTTCCGGGGCCCACGAAGCCCCTGCTCCCGAGAGCCGTCGGACTGCCACGCCCTGTTCACCGTCCCGATGGAGCGCCCGCCCGAGCGCCCCACGGGGCGCCCAGCCCGGGCTTCTTCGGGCCGCCCTCTGCCTGGGAGATCGTCCACCGGCATGCTGCGAATCGGGCGGATGTCCTGGTCGTAGGTGGCCATTTCCAACGACATCAGAGACAAGAGAGGGAAATAATTGTGCATGTCGATTTGGGGGAAAAAAAATGAGGCTCGTCGCAGCGAGCGGTGACTCCCGAGTGCTGCTCGGTGAGAATGCCATCAGGGTGCCATCACAGCGGGGCCTGGCGGCGTGCGGTGGCAACTGGTCATAGAGACCTGCTGCTACGAGGTCCTCGGCCGCGTAATCGTCATCGAAAGGCTCGGGCTCGGCAGTCTGCGCTGGCAAATCAGGGCCTAACTCCGAGCCTGGCTCTACGCTGGGGGAGGCTGTGCGGGCAGGGGCGGCGCGCTCGATGAAGGCGAAGATGATGGCGAAGACGACGAGCGGTCGGACGACAGCTGGCAAGCTTCGAAAACTCTTGGGACGCCAGCGTTGACCTCTCATGGCGTCTCCCACTCTACCTCCGCCCGTGTCCGCCGAGCTTCCACCAGCGGGACCGTCCTCGTTTTCCTTGCGCTGGCTTTCGCCGAGGGCGAGAGGTTCGCACCCGAGTCCTCATATCGGATCGATACACATCTCAATGACGCACGGCGGATCGGTTCGAAACTGGAATCCAAGAGTCAGATCGGCCAGGAATCGAAGCTCCTAAGCTGGCCAGGCCTCTCAAAGGCTACTGGCGAAAGCCTGTGCAAGGCCAGGCCAAACTTAGTGCTGACATATCACTGTCGCAAACTGGACGCGACGCCTCATGACTTCCGAACCAACCGGCCTTGAAAGCGAAGCGATCTCATTTCTTTGTTGCGTAAAGGCAATGCGAGGTGCAGTAGCAGCAGTAGTCTGGCTGATGGGGCAACGTCGGGCCTCCCCTCCGACGAAACGCCACACAGCATCTAAAACAAACAAATCCGCCCGACCATTTGGGTGACCAACGTGTGAAATCGACGGGCAACTCGCCTCATGCACTGCCCAGCTACCCTCGCCCGTTTGACAAGTGGTGGCCCAGGGATGTCTCAGGCGAAGCCAGCCGGACCGCCTCGCAGACGGCATCTTAAGGCCCAAAATAACCATGATGGCTTCGCCGAAACCGACCCCCACAACTTCTCGCATGGGGTCTCCTAGCTCCAAAAACCACTAGCTGGGGCAGGAGATGGTCAATCGCGATTCCTTGTCCATGCCCATGTTTCCCCCTCGGGGATGGGGTCATCGCTGCTCCTGGATTATTGTCACCTCGCCCAATCATCCGACCGCCAACCCGAGTCACTGCCACCCCCTACGATTCAAACCAAAAACAAATTGAAAACCCCCCAGGCGGCTCCCCCATTGGAGCTCGGAAACGCGATGCGATCCGTCAGAACCATGATCATCGGATCAGCATGGCTATGTAGATCCGCCACCGTGCCTCTGGGCACGGAGTGGGCGAGCCCTCAGGTCCTTGCCATCATCCTCTCAACCTCAGTCCTCCTTCCTGAGGAGTCGTTCAGAGCCTCAGACCCCACATCGCGAAATCTTATCCTATGGCTTCTCGCGGTTTCTCGCGTGACCGTTTCTGAGCGATGGGGGCCCAAAAACCAGCCAACAGGGCCCAACGATGCCCACGACGGCCCCAGAACGCCCCGAGACGCCCAAAGATCGCTCCAAGACACACTAAATGGCATCAAGATGGCCCAAGAGGCCTGCAAGATGCCCCAAGAGGCCTCGAAGATGCCTCCCAAGAGGACCCTGAGAGGCAAAAGACATTGAGTTGCATTCGTTGCGTTCTCGCCCTGTTTCCTTTCCGACGCTTCCAGGCGGCCCTCGAGGCCCCCAATACCACCCCGGGACTGCCCAAGAGGCCTCCAACAGGGCCCCAAGACGGCCCTCGAGCCCCAAGACGGCCCAGGAGGCGCCCAAGATGGCCCAAGAGGGCCCCAAGACGGCCCAAGAGGGCCCCAACATGGCCCCAATAGTGGCCCGAGAGAGGGAACACGAACCGAAAATCCGAGTGTTCCGCCCCATGAGGCCCCCAGGAGGCCCAAGAGGCACCCTAGAGGCCCCAAGAGGCTCCAAGAGCCCACGGGACCCAACAGCGGCCCCAAGAGGCTCCAAAACTGTTCCCAAGAGGCCTCAAAACTGCATCAAAGAGAAACCCTAAAGGTCCCCCACGAAGTCCCAACGAACACCCAATAGGCTTCATACACACAAACACACGTGCATGGATACATACATACACCCACACACACACACACACACGCATACATACGGATCTGCACAAACGCACACACACACATATACGTACGTATGTACATACATACATACATACATGCATACATACATACAGGCAGACAGGCAGACAGGCTGACAGACAGGCCGACACGCATACACGCAGAACTACATACATACAGGCATACATTATCATACACACATACGTGTGCATCCATGCATACACACATACACACATACACGTACACACATACCTACATACATACATAAGTGAACGCATATATCCATACTTGCATACGTGCTTGCATATATACAAACATGAACACAACTACCCGTGCAGACATGAATGTATGCATACGCCCATGCTGTCACGCACACGCATGCATAACACCATACATACATACACACATACACATATATGCATACAGGCATGCATGCAGTCATACATGCATGCATGCATGCATGCATGCATACATGCATGCGGGCATGCAAACATACAGAAATGCATACATGCATACATGCGTACATGCATACATGCATACATGCATGCACACATACATGCATCCAACACTCCATCACTCAGTGCATGCATACCAACATAGATGCGTACAACCATGCTTACACGGATACACATACATACATACGCATATACATGCATGATTGCATGCATACCTTCATGCATACATGAATGCGTACGTACATACATGCGCCCACGCACATGCATAGTTACACTCATGCATACACCGACATCCATACATACAAACAGCCATGGATACATGCGTGGGTGCATACATATATACACATATGTGTGCGCATGTACACACAATAACCATACATATTCAGACACATATGTGCATGCGTACATGCATACATGCATACATACACACATATACATACACCCATATTTACAGACAAATGGTGACACGCACAGCATCCGAACGCCTCAGATGAACACCAATCCGAATGAACAGATAATCTCGGAGGTCCGCACAGCCTTCCTGGGATCGGCACTGGACCGCCCTCCCTGGCGGCCGAGCGCGCTAATGGCGGCGCCGCCAGGGGGGATGAGAGGGGGGTACCCATCCGTCGGAAGAAGTAGGTAGAAACATGAAGTAGGAAGGCGTTGGAAATAGATTGGGTTTCCGCCCGCCTCCTGAAG